CCTCCCTCCCTCCCTCCCTCCCTCCCTCCCTCATTCCTTCCTTCCCTCCCCTCCTTCATCTCTTTTTCATTCTCCTTCCTGGTGGTGCAGTGATTAGTATGCAGTATTTCAGGCTGACTCTGCCGATTGCCGGGAGTTCGATCCTGACCGGCTCATGGTTGACTCAGCCTTCCATCCTTCCGAGGTAGGTAAAATGAGGAGCCAGATTGTTGGGGGCAATAGGCTGACTCTGTAAAACCATTTAGAGAGGGCTGTAAAGCACTGTGAAGCGGTATATAAGTCTAAGGGCTATTGCTACGGTCCTTTTATGACCTGTGGACTTCAACTCCCAGAATTCCTGGCATGGCTGGCTTAGGAATTCTGGGAGTTGAAGTCCACAGGTCATAAAAGGGCCGTAGTTCCCCACCTCTGCTGTCAGACATATTGTACACGAAGCAAACACAACTCTGGAAGCATCTTATTCTGAAAAACAAAAAGTTAGAATTGATTGCTGCTACTGCTGCTTGATGGCCAATTGGCATATGTCAGGAGACTCGGCCGATGTCCCTCTTTTGGTTCTTATTTCTGGTAGTCTTAAAATAGGGTAGGAATGACATACTTTTGATAATTAGGCTACGATGCCTTTACTGAAGCTTCGGTCTCTGAATTTTAACAAAAACAAAAACTGTGACTTCTGTCAAAGGAGAGATAAGCTCCCTATCAAGAACCAGCAGTTGTTTTTTTTATATATTTAACAGAATAAAACAGCAATTTCCAAAGGGGGCAATCAAGCCACCGAGCAATAAATAAATAAATCTCTCTGGCAAGTCAGGTTTTCTCCATTTCACGAAGGGGGCCTGCAGATTTTCCCAGCTCTAGTGATAAAGCAAATTATGCTGACCCACTGGGGCTGTCTCAGAATTTATTTGTGCCTGAAAGTTGGCAGCTACCAGGAAGTTGCATTCTTCCATTTGAATATACACTTATCGGTGCTCGTTCCAAAAAGAAAAAAGAAAGAAAGAGTTATCATTCCCCAACTTCGCATCCTCTAAAAAGAAATGGGGGCGGGGGGGGAGGTAACAATGAAAACATCATTCAGAAAAAGTTAGCAAACTGTGAATGATTAACCGGCGGTCTCTCTCTCTCTCTCTCTCTTCCTCTTTTACTTCCAGGTAGTAGATAAGATTAAGGAAAAAAACATTTCCTTTTTTGGATAATGAAGAGCGCAAAGGCTCAGCTTGAGCTACGTGATTGTGGCGTAAGGGAAACGGTGGGTGAGCTGAAAGACAACCTGTATCGGGGGTGTCAAACTCGATTCCATGGAGGGACACATCAGGGTTGTGTTTGACCTCAGGGGCTGGGGTGGGCGTGGCCAGCTTGATTTCACTCGTGTCTGGGGCGCCTGTGGTGGCCCAAGCACTCTGCCGGCAAAAAGAGGCTCCCGAGCTCCGTTTTTGGCTGCGATGACCTCCTGCAACCCTCTGGCAGCGAAAATGGAGCTCAGAGGGCTGTGCGGGCCAGATCTAAGCACCCCGTGAGTCATTGATCACTGATCTATGGAGTGCAACCGAAGTTTGTTTTTCATAGCCTTGGAAATAATTCACAGGAAGCCTCTGAGAGAGAAGGAAATGTACACATAGTCCTCACTTAATTGCAAACCGTGGAGCCTGGAATGTCCGTTCTAAGTTGTTGCGGTCACTAAACAAGTTCATGGCACGAACTGATTGGATTGTGCAATCATTTTTTATGACGGTCATAAGGTGAATTGCTGTGGCCGTTTAAGCAAACCACGTGGTCATTAGGCAACCATTTGCTCCAATGGGCATTTTATTTTTTTTATTTTTTGCCAGAAACTGGCAAATTAATAATAATAATATCGGACATCACAACCGGTTGCCAATGCGAATCACGGTTGCCAATGCGAATCACGTGACCATGGTTGCATGTGTGGGGCAGTCATAACTTTGAGGAGGGATTGTAAGTCATTAAGCGAGGGGTAACTGTGCCATCTATACTGGCAGGAGTCTCTTAATTAATACCAGGAAAGATTCAGATGAAAGGAGAATGGAAACAAGCAGGACCCAAGGCCCCTTTACTTAAAAAAGAAACACTTTTATATCAAACTAATTAACAGAAATAAAAATTGCATATTGTGCAAATTAGGTGTAGATGTATTGTTCTACTGCTGCAAAATAATTATTTTTACCACCTCCATGCACAAGAAATCTATAGTTCTTGATGCCCAGATTCTGAACACCAGTAATACAGCCAAACATACCTTAATGCCATTCTCATTTTCAAATCATTATTGCAGTCTTGCACATTTGAACCCAAAATATGGCAACAATGGGACAAATCTGAAAATTAATCTCTATCTCTTGAACTAAGTCTTCAATAGTGACCATTTCTAAACAATTTTGAGATATTTAATACAGGTGAAATTGGAGGGTTTTTTTTTGCCATGTTAACTACATTTTAAGATAAAAACCATTTCACGTTCTTTAATGCAACTGTTCACTGGTTTTGAAAGAGTAGGTCATTCCAAGTTACTGTCCAAGTAATTAATATCGGTTTCTTCAAAATCTTTAAAAAAGATGGATAGTGGCTAAAATATCTCAAAAGCATTAGGACCAAACATTACAGGTGACAAACCCTTCAGTAGAATAAATTGCCAAGAAGCAATCTGGAAAACCAAGTTCACTTTTTTATAGACTTTTTATAAACAGTTTAATCTGAGCTATGTTTTTCAAAAGTAAAGGTTCGATTTACTGAAAAGTTAAAACAAGAAGCAGATTAATATCTGTTTTTTAAACAGGGAGCTTGGCATCATGGAGGTTTTGTTGCTTAAGAAAGTTAGTTTTGTCTCCCACCAAATCTCTATTTATCTTGAGACGTTAAGTTTTCAATATTGAAACTGATCCTTGAACAAACCAAGGTTTTCAGAAGACACAAATGCTTCCCAGTGGAATGCAAAGAGGAGCTGAATTCTGAATCTAAAATAAATGCCAAATGATCAGCTGAAAAGATGGAGAATTAAATCCATATTTACCAGCTGGTCATTCTAATTCAATCCGTGGAAATGTTAAGATAACTTTCTGGAGAAAGCTATTAGACAAATTCGGTTGAAATAATATAAATAGCACAAGAAGTTCTTTTAAAATACATGTAGAGTTAAAATGACCTTACACAGATTTATTTGTGCAAGCAACAAGAATTCTAGGTTTGGTTTGAACCAAAATTGGAAATGATTTGAAATTTGCACTTAAAAAAAGATGATCATGGACCTTTATCCCAAGGCCAACCAAAAGGAGCAGAAAACTGAAAGCCTTAGTCATCTCAGCTTTGTGGGAGTGGATCCATTGACCTAATGAATTTCTTCTGATATATAGTAGTTACTTGTGGTGCAGCCTCAGAGGAACAAAATGAACATTTCTGACCTTTATCAAACATACCATTTGTGTGTGACAGAATCTCAGACTCTCCTTCATCTTCTGTGGCTATTTTAGTATTTTCCATGTTTTTTTAGTAGTGCAGACAAGGAGAATATATCCTTGATTTATTCCACAACACAAAGGCACATCATTAATATGATTTGGCGGTAAAATAAGTTGTTCCACAATAATAATAATGAAAAACCTCTGAGGAAATTGAAAATATGCCAGAATCAGCTTCAGAAAATGTCCAAGAAACCACATCAAATGTTTTCTA